TGACCTCTGGTGGTTCCTTCCAGCTTCAACCATTCTGTGAATGACCCAATGCCCCAAACCTCCTCCTTCCTTTTACCATTTATTGCTAACCATGATGTCATATAGTATGGAAAATCCCTTTGATCAGTCTGGGCGTCAGTCCTGCCTTTGTCCCCTCCCAACTCTTACCCACCCCAGCCTACCATAATTTTGGAGATGCAGTCAGACAGACAGCATTCGTGCCGTGCAAGCTCTGCCCAGCAAAACCCAAAACATGTATGTGTTACTAGCATAATTCTATGTAAAACTGAAAAGTCCTAGTAGGAGGCTTAATATGGGGCCAACTCCATGCAGGTAGATCCTGCACAATGCAATTACAAATCAGTAGACAATTATCCCCTCCCCAAAACACCGTGAGCAACAGCTCTAACCCTGAGAATTTTGGGAGAGCATCAGTAGGGGAAAGGATGAGAGAAAGTCATGGGTTGGGATGCAGCAGAACTTTAATGAGTAAGAACAGGGAAACAAGGACACTGTGAGTGGAGATCCTGGTACAGGGAGCACCAAAGGCAGAAAGGAGTCGGCATCCCCAGTGCGGAGACATCTTGTGTGTCCCTGGGCCCTTCCCCAGGGCCATCGCCAGCAGCTTTAGCAGGGGAGGCACCTCCTGCCGCAGAAGCGGCCGCCCAAGCCAGAGAGGCCCAAGCCAGAGAGGCCAAAGCCCCCGGAGTTGATGGGCACTCCCTCGGAGCTGAGGATGCTGCCAACGGCAGCAGAGGTGGAGGAGCCCACGGCGGTGTTCTGTGGGAAGGAGCTGAGGATGGGTCCGGGCAGGGTCACCACCACGGGGGAGGGCTGGATGACAACGTTTGAGTCCTGGCACTGCCTGACACAGGGCTCATTGCAGCTGTTGGCCAGCGGGGTCGGGCCGCAGGGCTGGCAGGGCACGCACGGGCTGTAGCAGGACATGTCTGGATGGTAGAGCTTCACCTGGAGACAGGGCAGGGGCAAGCAGAGCAGGGACATGGGTTAGGAGCAGACTCTCACCCCAAGACAAATGAAGGTTGAAACAAGAGCTGGAGGTGTTGTAGGGAGATCCACAGATTTCAGCTTCCTCTCACCCAAAAAATGCTCCATCAAGAACACTGAAGTACAGGGAGCTCCCAGTATAGCCATTGCTCACTACAGCCAGCCCCAGCCTATCTGCATTATAGACCTTCTGCTCTCTTCCCTCTCTCATTATTTGTAGCCCCTTGACCCAGCACAGGACAAAAGGCAAGTGTATGCTAAGAAAAGCTGAAGAGGAAAAGGAGGCAGGAGGAGAGGAGAAAAGGCTTCAATCTCACCTTGCTTGCAAGGAGATGGAGGCGAGAGCAGTGGATGAGAGAGTGAGGAGAAGTTACTGCTTTTATACCGTTCCTGCACTGCCACAGGCCCACAGTCACTGCACACAGGCACTAATTTTCCAGCAGACTCACCTCCAAAGCAAAACATACGCCTAATGGCACAGGCTGCGGTTTGGTTTCCATCAACGCAGCCATTTCACTTCCTCCTTTCTGGAATGACCATTATGTCACAGAAGATCCTTTCAAGTATCAAGATGAGAGGCCCAAATATTTCCTGTCAGGAGCACATCAACAGTAGCAGAAGATATAGTCCAAGTGGTGGAGGTGTGTGTGCAAGTAAGAGGCATGGGTCTGGAGAGATCTGGTGAATGCAGGCTGTTTTCAACCTTCTGGACAGGAACGTGCTGTGCCACCAGTGCAGTCCTCTCCTGCCTGTGTCCATCTGTTTGTTCGCTTTCCCCTCTTGTGACAATATCTGGGGTCCCTACCAAAGCCATCTGCAGGCACATCAGTAGCACCGGCATGGCAGAGCAACACATCAGAAATGAGGAAATCAGATGGAAAACAACCCCCAACCTGTGCCATTAGGTGAATGGTTTGCTTTGGAGGTGAGTCTGCTGGAAAATTACTGCCCGTGTGCAGTGACTGAGGGCCAGGGGCGGTGCAGGAGCAGTATAAAAGGGGAACTTCTCCTCACTCTCTCATCCACTGCTCTCGCCTCCACCTCCTTCAGAACAAGGTGAGTATGAAACTCATTCTCATTCTCGTTGTTCTCCTGTTTCTCCTCATCCTCCTTTGGGATTTCTCAGCATAAACCTGCTCCTTCGTCCTACACTGGAGTTGAAGCAGCTTGTCACAGGACAGGAAACATGGTAGTAGTTGCGGCATGGAGTTAGGTTGGGTCTTGGCTGAGCAATGGTCTGGGTGGTGACCTTGCTTGATTTGGCTGCTCTTGGCAGAGTTCTTTTGCACTGAGGGGAAGCTGAAGGCAGTGGGACTCCTTACGCAGCCACTGGCTCATGACTCCATCTTGTTGCGTGGCTCCTTTGTGGTGGGCTTCAGGCTGCTGCTAACCCATGTCCCTGCTCTGCTTGCCCCTGCCCTGTCTCCAGGTGAAGCTCTACCATCCAGACATGTCCTGCTACAGCCCGTGCCTGCCCTGCCAGCCCTGCGGCCCGACCCCGCTGGCCAACAGCTGCAATGAGCCCTGTGTCAGGCAGTGCCAGGACTCAAACGTTGTCATCCAGCCCTCCCCCGTGGTGGTGACCCTGCCCGGACCCATCCTCAGCTCCTTCCCACAGAACACCGCCGTGGGCTCCTCCACCTCTGCTGCCGTTGGCAGCATCCTCAGCTCCGAGGGAGTGCCCATCAACTCCGGGGGCTTTGGCCTCTCTGGCTTGGGCCTCTCTGGCTTGGGCGGCCGCTTCTGCGGCAGAAGGTGCCTCCCCTGCTAAAGCTGCTGGTGATGGCCCTGGGGAAGGGCCCAGGGACCCAAAGGATGGCACCGCGTTGGGGATGCCGACTCCTTTCTGCCTTTGGTGCTCCCTGCACCAGGATCTCCACTCACAGTGTCCTTGTTTCCCTCTTTTGACTCATTAAAGTTCTGCTGCATCCCAACCAATGCCTCTCTCTTATCCTTTCCACTGCAGATGCCTTCCCAAGGTGTCCAAGGACAGAGTTGTTTCTCTGTGGGATTCTGGGATGGAGTTTTTGGGATGAAGGCGTAGTGATTGTTAACACAATGGTTGTGAACTGAAAGACTCAGGGCAGTCTTTCCAAAGAGGCCGTTCTCTAGAGCATGGCTGGCCATCCTCTGCTGGTGTGAGGTGCCTGGTATTGCCTTTGCACCACTTCGGTTTTCTCTTTTTTCCCCTTCCCCTCATAGACTGTCATGCAGGCCCAGAGGCAGAGAACATCCTCCTTGCCCTGCTCCTCCCCTGCCTGTGCCCAGCGTTTCCTGGGGATGTTTCTGGAGAAGGGGAGCAGGTCAGGAACAGGCAGCGTGTGCAGGCTGAGTGTCTCAAGGGTCTGTCCAGGAGCTCTCCACAGCAGTGCGGTGACCAGAGGCAAAGGCTCAGAGGCTTGTGGCTGACAAAGGGGAGCAGCTGAACTGCTGCAGGAGAGAACTGTGTAAGATCCCACATGTCCACCCTGATCCCTGCATGGCCACAACCAGCCCTAGCTCTCCACACATGCTGCCACCCTGACAAGCAGCAGCCTAAGGCAGGGCCAGTTTTTCTGGTAACACCATCAATACTGTTTCTGGACAAAAAGATCTGTCATTGGCATCATGGCCAATGCCAATAGGACTCATCCCACTCTGCTCAGCACTCATCAGCTGGGCTCTGGAACACTGCTCTAACACAAGAAAGATCTAATGGGAGAAAGACCTTGATCAAAATGGGGGAAGTTCAGCAGAGGGTGTCCGAGATGATAAGGGCCTGGAGCACATGTTTAGGGGGGAGTGGGTGAGAGCACGAGCCTTGCTTATTGTGGAGAGAAGGCTTTGGTGGGAGACCTAAGAGCAGCTTAGGAGTAGCCCTGGTGAGGTTCACCAGAGGACAGATCCAAGCTCAACAGTGCTCACTGTGGCAGTGTGTGCTTGGAGAACTGGAGACATCGGACTCACCCTGACAGATGAGAAGTTTGGACTCGATCCGTGGCAAATGGTTTTCACCAGGAAGAGAGTCAAGGTGTGGAAAAGGTTGCCTGAGGAGGTAGTGCAGTAACAGTGCTTGGATGATCACGGCTGAGTGATCTTGGAGCAAGGGGTTGGGCCCTATGACCTCTGGAGGTACTTTCTAACTTGAGTGTGCTGTGATCCCATCATGACAGGATGGCCTTTGTTCCTCTGCCCACTGGTGGGGATAGGGCTGGCAATGAGGAGGAGGGACTCAACTCCTTGGCCAAGGAGAAAGGCAGTGTGCAGGAACTCTCCTGAATCCTCTGTGGAAGGAAACAGCAGATTGCCACAGGCATCTGTGCACCAGATCAGACCATAGGACCTGTGTAGCCCAGCTGTGGAGACAGTATTTTCCCAAGGATGCTGTGGCAGTATGTTCCTTTACTGTTGTTATGCTTTGATTTCCTGCCTGGTGTTCTCCTTATCCTGCAACTCAAAATCTCAATGCTGCAAAAGGGCAAGTTCTCCTATGCTTTCCTGGGAAGGTGTTGATGTTGCCCTGTCAATAACACATTCATCCTTTCTTCTCCTGACTGCCTTCTTTACAACGCTGAGCTTCCAAAGGAAAAGGAAGAGGTGTATGCACCAACTGATGGTAGTGACTGGGTCATTCACTCATTCAATCCTGTTCTACCCCACATAGGCAGAGAAGTTTAGAAACAAGAGAGTCACAGAACTCATGACTGAGCAAACTCAGTGCAAACCCATGTTGACAATAACTGCACAGTAATAGCCAACACCCCGTCCCAGACCCCTTTGAGCAACATCTCTCTCCCTGGGCATCTTCATTGAGCATCGGCAGGGGAATGGACAAGACAAAGGCATGGACTGGGCTGCTACAGAGATTTAATGAGGAAAAAAAGAGGAGCGAGCTCAATCAGAGTAGAGGTCACAGTGCAGGGAGCATCACGGTCAGACAGGAGCCTGTGACCCCCAGTGTGGTGACATCTTCTGTGTCCCTGGGCCCTTCCCCAGGGCCATCGCCAGCAGCTTTAGCAGGGGGGGCACCTCCTGCCACAGAAGCGGCTGCCCAAGCCAGAGAGGCCCAAGCCAGAGAGGCCAAAGCCCCCGGAGTTGATGGGCACTCCCTCGGAGCTGAGGATGCTGCCAACGGCAGCAGAGGTGGAGGAGCCCACGGCGGTGTTCTGTGGGAAGGAGGTGAGGATGGGTCCGGGCAGGGTCACCACCACGGGGGAGGGCTGGATGAAGACATTGGAGTCCTGGCACTGCCTGACACAGGGCTCATTGCAGCTGTTGGCCAGCGGGGTCGGGCCGCAGGGCTGGCAGGGCAGGCACGGGCTGTAGCAGGACATGTCTGGATGGTAGAGCTTCACCTGGAGACAGGGCAGGGGCAAGCAGAGCAGGAACATGTGTCAGGAGAAGCCTCTCACCACACCAGGAAGGATGAAAGGCATGCTCAGTAGACAAGAGCTGGAGACTGTGAAAGGAAGCACCTGAGCTTCTCCTTTCCCTCAGAAGATCCCTGCCAAGATTGACCAAGCCCAACCCCAGAGCTCAAAAGTCTCCTCAGCCAAAATCCAGCCATGGCAAATCATCCTCCCTATTCCCCATGACAAGAAGAGCCAAGACCCTCATGGGTCAAAGGGGCAGTTAAGTGCTGAGAAATCTCAAAAGAGCAGGAGAATGAGAAGGTGGTACAGAAAGGGCTTCATACTCACCTTGTCCTCGAGGAGACAGAGCCAAGAGCACTGGATGAGAGGGTGAGGAGAATTTCCCGCTTTTATACTGCTCCTGCACAGCCCCAGGCCCACAGTCACTGAACACGGGCAGTAATTTTCCAGCAGACTCACCTTCAAAGCAAAACAGCCACCTGATGGCACTGGTTGGGGTTTGGTTTCCATCAAGGCTGCCATTTCATTTCCTCATTCCTGATGCGATGAACTTGCCATGCAGTTCCTTTCATGTCCTGGGATGAGAAGCCCAAGGCTATCCCAGGTAGAATTACACCACTGGGCCAGAAGAAGAGGCCCAAGTACTCAAGGAGCCCCATACAGGCACTTGGAATGTTGGACTGGGGCAGTGAGGCACAGCTGGGAACTCCCTTCACAGTAAGAAGCCCAGATCTTCCCCACACTGCACATGTCAGCAGAATACCTAAGGCTTCTCTTGCCGAGGATGCTCTCCAGAACATGACATGTGCTCCAGAAAATGACATGTAGGGAAAGAAAGGTTGCAGAAAACATCTCCCTGTGTCTGGGACTCATCCCCCAGTCTGGGGCAATACATATTCTCCAGCCATTAGGGCTCTATCCCTCCTCCCATCCCATGCTCCAAAGTCCTCCTCAGTGTGGAACACAACCCAGCACCACTGGGGAGGCAAGAAAATCTCTTCCAAGTGCCCAAGCAGTGAGGGCTGCAGAACCCCCCAGTGCCACGTGCCTGGGGATGCTCAAGGAGGAGAAGTGCTCAGAACACCTCTGAGTACGAAACCAGCTCTCAAAGCACATCAAGGAGCCATGCACTTCCCTGCCCTGCAGCCCTGGAGGCAGCTGGGACGCATCCCAGGAGGGCAGGGGAATGCCTTCCGTAGGCAAGCTTCCTGGGATAGGCTCTCCCTACCCGTGGCGAGTCACACTCTAATTCTGGCCTGGAGTGTGTCAGCCTTCGGTGTGAGGACAAGCCAGGAGTGCAGCCCACGTCCACACAGGGCTCAATTCCCCTGTGGCCAGGGCAGCTCCATCCCTGCCCTATGAAAATGAGCTCTGAGCACAGGGCATCACCCAAGTCCACAGCTCCAGGATGACCTCATGGCCATTGCCCTCAGCAGAACTTTCCTGCTGCTGCTCCCATAGCTCAGGGGCTGCAGGAGCTTTGGAAACTTGGCCAGGCCCCTGTGTCTCTGGCTGGTCAGGGGGTAAAGCCCCAGCCAATCTGCAGGGTGGTCTGAGCAGACTGGGAACAGCAGGACCTTGTCCTGAGGCACAACACAACCCACAGGTAATGAGGAAGAACCCAAATCCATGGGGATCCCCTTGGGAATTGTCATCTGCCCGTACCGATGTGTTCCTGCACATTCTTGGGCTTCTTATCCTGGTACTTGAAAGAATCTTCCATAAGCTGGTGGGTGTGTCAGAAATGAGGACATGTATTGTTGGTGGAAACCAAACCCCAACCAGTGCCATCAGGTGGGTGTTTTGCTTTGGAGGTGAGTCTGCTGGAAAATTACTGCCCGTGTGCAGTGACTGTGGGCCTGGGGCTGTGCAGGAGCAGTATAAAAGCAGGAAATTCTCCTCACTCTCTCATCCACTGCTCTCGCCTCCATCTCCTTGAGAACAAGGTGAGTCTGAAACCATTTCTCCTCCTCCTCCACTGGCATTTCTGAGGACATATCTGCCCCTCTGTCTTGTGCTGGGCATTGGAACTTCTTGCTATGGTAGAGGGCAGAGGGCAGAAGGTGTGACATGGAGATGCGAACTTGTCTGTGACATAGACAGAGCTTGGGGCTTGCATGAGATTAGGTGTCCTCTGAGATGTGGGGTTGTTTGGGATATCCCTGGGTTAGTCAATCATGGCAGGGATCTTCTGAGGGAAAGGAGAAGCCCATGTGCCTGTCTGCACAGCCTCCATCTCTTCTCTATGGAGCATGCCTTTCATCCTTGCTCGTGGAGTGAGAGGCTGCTTCTGACCCATGTTCCTGCTCTGCTTGCCCCTGCCCTGTCTCCAGGTGAAGCTCTACCATCCAGACATGTCCTGCTACAGCCCGTGCGTGCCCTGCCAGCCCTGCGGCCCGACCCCGCTGGCCAACAGCTGCAATGAGCCCTGTGTCAGGCAGTGCCAGGACTCCAATGTCTTCATCCAGCCCTCCCCCGTGGTGGTGACCCTGCCCGGACCCATCCTCAGCTCCTTCCCACAGAACACCGCCGTGGGCTCCTCCACCTCTGCTGCCGTTGGCAGCATCCTCAGCTCCGAGGGAGTGCCCATCAACTCCGGGGGCTTTGGCCTCTCTGGCTTGGGCCTCTCTGGCTTGGGCGGCTGCTACTCCGGCAGGAGTTGTCTCCCCTGCTAAAGCTACGGCCTGTGCTGAGCTGTCCACTCGGGTCAACTTCTTTTCCCTGTTTTGACTCATTAAAGTTCTGCTGCATCCCAGCTTGTGCTTTTTGTCCCATCCTTTCCCTTGCAGATGCTCTCCCAAGATGGCCAAGGAAGAGATGTTGCTCAGGGGTGGTCCTGCAAGGGTGTTGTTGAGGGTGGTTTTGCAGTGACTGTCAGAACAGGCTGGCAGTGAGTGTGTTCAGTCATCCATCAAGCGACCCTCTACTTTCTTAAAAACGTCTGCCTTTTTGGGCTGGGATACAATTACCCCACATTGGTCAGAACCTTCAATCCACTCAGTTGTGCACACATTTCCTGTTCCTCAGTAACTTCAACATTTTCATGTAAGTATTCTGGAGGGAATGTGGTACTGACAAGACACAGCACTTGTTTCCCAGGTGTGGCCAGGAGAAATTTGTCCTTACCACAGCTTTCTCAAAGAGAGAGAAATGTTTCAGTGAGGGACCTTATTGTAGAGCCATATAATTATAGAACCATAGAATGATTTTGGTTGGAAGAGACCTTGAAAGATCATAGACATCAAACTCTCTGCCATGGGCAGGGACATCTGTCACTGCACCACGTTACTCAAAGTTCTGCCAAGCCTGATGTTCAACACTTCAGTGATGGAGTGTCCCATCTTTCTCCAGGAAACCTTTTCCAGTGTCTCACCATCCTCAGCATAATAAATTCCTTCCTTATGTCCAACCTTCATGACCCCTATTTCAGTTTAAAAGTGTTTCTCCTTGTCCTGTTAGGACAGTCCGAAATCTACTTTGGACTTCTGAGTTCCCTCTGTATGTTGAAAGGCTGCAATAACATCTCTGCATGGACTTCTTCATGATGAAAACACTCAACTCCCTCAGCCTTTCCTCATATGAAGGAGTTGCAGGCATCTGATAAATTCTGTAGCTCTTCTCTGGACCTACTCTAACAGTTCTATGTCTTTTTTCTACTGGGGACACTGGCCTCAATGTTCCTCTAATGAGTGAGGACTAGAAACAGATAATCAGTACCCTAATATGCTGGCCATGCTTCTTTTGATACAGCCCGGGACCTGCTTGGCTTTCTGAGCTGCCAGTGCACACTGCTGGCTTCTGTCTTGTTTATCAACCTCCAGTGTCCTTTAGCCCTCAAGCTTTCATCTTCCAGTCTGTATTAATATTGCCAAGTGCAGGTGCAGGGCCTTACCGTTGGTCTTGTTGAATATCCTGAGTTTCACATGAGATCATTCCTCAAGCTTGTCAGGGTTCCTCTGAACACTATCCCTCCCTTATGCCTGCCAGTTGCCCCTCAGCTTGGTGTCCTGGAGCAGCTCTCTGAGGGTGCACTCAACCCCACTACGTGTGTCACTAATGGAGAGATGAAATAGTATTGCTCTTGGTACAGACCCCTGAAGGAAACCTTTTGTCACTTGTTTCCACTTGGACCTTGAGCTGTTTGCAACAACTCTTTGCAGCCAAAGTGCCCTCAGAACAATTTCACTCTCAGCAGGCAGTAATTCTCAGACAGACTCACATCCAAAGAAAAATATCTATGTAATGTCAGAGGTTGTGTTTTGATCATTTTAGTGCTGAGCCTCAAATGTGTGGTTAAAACATTACAGATAACAAGCCTAAGCTTTGGACATTGGTGCATGGTAGGTGGAAGTGGTGTGCAAGTAGCTCGATGGGACACTGCTGGGAGACCTGACTTGAACTGACCAAAGGACTATGCCATGCTGTATAACATGCTCAGCAATAAAATTGTGGCAGTCTTTCCAAAGAGGACATTCTTTGGAGCATGCCTGGGCATCCTCTGCTGGTGCACAGTGCTGGGTGTTGCCTTTGCGCCACTTGGGTTTTCTCGTTTATCTCCTTCCTCTCACAGACTGCCGCACAGGCCCACAGGCAGACAATATTCCATTTGCCCTGCTCCTTCCTTGTCATGCCCTAGGCTTCCTGCGAATGTTTCTGGAGAGTGGGAGCCAGGAAGAGTCTCAGGGCAGGAATTATAGGTAGTGAGTAGCTGGGAAGGTGTGGAGGTTGGTGAACATGGCTGGCCATGATAGCCTGAGGGTACAGATTTTGCTGAGCATGGAGCAGAGAATGCTTCAGTGGGAGACCAAAAGTCATTATTGGAGTAGCAATGTTCACTGAACAGCATCTGGTCATTCTGCCCACACTAAGATAGGTAGAGAAGTTTAGAAAGCAGAGGGTCACCCAGTGTGTAACTAAAAAATATCAGAAGCAAGCATGTGTTCCCAGTCAGAGCACAAGTATCTCCAAAACCCCATCCCAGAACCACCCCTGAGACACATGGCATCTGGGGGAATATCTCCAGTGAAAAGGAAGAGGCAAAGGCATGGGCTGGGATGCAGAAGAAATTTAATGAGTCAAACCAGAAAAACAGGAATGGAGGCCCCACTACAGACAATAGCAGAGACAGGTGTGGGCTGTCCTGTGCGAGAGACCAGCCTAGCCCCGTCCTTGTTCAAGAGGTCCTGGGTTTGCTCAGTTGCTTTGGAAGCAGCAACCAAAGGTTCCTTCCCCAGTGTGATGACATCTTCTGGGTTCCTGGGCCCTTCCCCAGGGCCATCGCCAGCAGCTTTAGCAGGGGGGGCACCTCCTGCCACAGAAGCGGCCGCCCAAGCCAGAGAGGCCCAAGCCGGAGATGCCAAAGCCCCCGGAGTTGATGGGCACTCCCTCGGAGCTGAGGATGCTGCCAACGGCAGCAGAGGTGGAGGAGCCCACGGCGGTGTTCTGTGGGAAGGAGGTGAGGATGGGTCCGGGCAGGGTCACCACCACGGGGGAGGGCTGGATGAAGACATTGGAGTCCTGGCACTGCCTGACACAGGGCTCATTGCAGCTGTTGGCCAGCGGGGTCGGGCCGCAGGGCTGGCAGGGCAGGCACGGGCTGTAGCAGGACATGTCTGGATGGTAGAGCTTCACCTGGAGACAGGGCAGGGGCAAGCAGAGCAGGAACATGTGTCAGGAGAAGCCTTTCACCACACCAGGAAGGATGAAAGGCATGCTCAGTAGACAAGAGCTGGAGACTGTGAAAGGAAGCACCTGAGCTTCTCCTTTCCCTCAGAAGATCCCTGCCAAGATTGACCAAGCCCAACCCCAGAGCTCAAAAGTCTCCTCAGCCAAAATCCAGCCATGGCAAATCATCCTCCCTATTCCCCATGACAAGAAGAGGCAAGACCCTCATGGGTCAAAAGGGCAGTTAAGTACTGAGAAATCTGAAAGAAGGAGGAGAAGGAGAAGGGGGTAGAGAAATGGTTTCATACTCACCTTGTCCCCGAGGAGGTGGAGGCGAGAGCAGTGGATGAGAGGGTGAGGAGAATTTCCTGCTTTTATACTGCTCCTGCACAGCCCCAGGCCCACAGTCACTGAACACGGGCAGTAATTTTCCAGCAGACTCACCTCCAAAGCAAAACACCCACCTAATGGCACAGATTGGGGTTTGGTTTTCATCAATGCTGCCATTTCATTTCCTCATTCCTGATGTGTTTAACCTGCCATGCAGCTCCTTTCATGTCACGGAATGAGAAGCCCAAGGGTATCCCACTTAGAATCATGCCAGAGGGGCAGAAGAGGAGGCCCAAATATTCAAGGAGCCTCATACAGGCACTTGGAATGTTGGACTGGGGCAGTGAAGCGCCACAGCTGGCAACTCCCTTTGCAGGAAGAAGCTCAGCTGTTCCCCACACTGCACATGTCAGCAGAATACCTAAAGGCTTCTCTTCCTGAGGATGTGCCATGTGCGCTCCAGAGAATGACATGGAGGGAAAGAAAGGGTTGCAGAAAACATCTCCCTGTGTCTGGGACTCATCCCTCAGTCTGGGGCAATACGTATTCTCTGATCATTAGGGCTCTATCCCTCCTCCCATCCCATGCTCCAAAGTCCTCCTCAGTGTGGAACACAACCCAACATCACTGGGGAGGCAAGAAAATCTCTTCCAAGTGCCCAAGCAGTGAAGGCTGCAGAATCCCCCAGTGCCACGTGCCTGGGGATGCTCAAGGAGGAGAAGAGCTCAGAACACCTCTGAGTACGAAACCAGCTCTCAAAGCACATCAAGGAGCGATGCACTTCCCTGCCCTGCAGCCCTGGAGGCAGCTGGGACGCATCCCAGGAGGGCAGGGGAATGCCTTCCGTAGGCAAGCTTCCTGGGATAGGCTCTCCCTACCCGTGGCGAGTCACACTCTAATTCTGGCCTGGAGTGTGTCAGCCTTCGGTGTGAGGACAAGCCAGGAGTGCAGCCCACGTCCACACAGGGCTCAATTCCCCTGTGGCCAGGGCAGCTCCATCCCTGCCCTATGAAAATGAGCTCTGAGCACAGGGCATCACCCAAGTCCACAGCTCCAGGATGACCTCATGGCCATTGCCCTCAGCAGAACTTTCCTGCTGCTGCTCCCATAGCTCAGGGGCTGCAGGAGCTTTGGAAACTTGGCCAGGCCCCTGTGTCTCTGGCTGGTCAGGGGGTAAAGCCCCAGCCAATCTGCAGGGTGGTCTGAGCAGAGTGGGAACAGCAGGACCTTGTCCTGAGGCACAACACAACCCACAGGTAATGAGGAAGAACCCAAATCCATGGGGATCCCCTTGGGAATTGTCTTCTGCCCGTACCGATGTGTTCCTGCACATTCTTGGGCTTCTTATCCTGGTACTTGAAAGAATCTTCCATAAGCTGGTGGGTGTGTCAGAAATGAGGACATGTATTGTTGGTGGAAACCAAACCCCAACCAGTGCCATCAGGTGGGTGTTTTGCTTTGGAGGTGAGTCTGCTGGAAAATTACTGCCCGTGTGCAGTGACTGTGGGCCTGGGGCTGTGCAGGAGCAGTATAAAAGCGGGAGATTCTCCTGGCTCTCTCATCCACTGCTCTCGCCTCCATCTCCTTGAGAACAAGGTGAGTCTGAAACCATTTCTCCTCCTCCTCCACTGGCATTTCTGAGGACATATCTGCCCCTCTGTCTTGTGCTGGGCATTGGAACTTCTTGCTATGGTAGAGGGCAGAGGGCAGAAGGTGTGACATGGAGATGCGAACTTGTCTGTGACATAGACAGAGCTTGGGGCTTGCATGAGATTAGGTGTCCTCTGAGATGTGGGGTTGTTTGGGATATCCCTGGGCTTAGGCAATCATGGCAGGGATCTTCTGAGGGAAAGGAGAAGCCCATGTGCCTCCCTGCACAGCCTCCATCTCTTCTCTATGGATCATGCCTTTCATCCTTGCTCGTGGAGTGAGAGGCTGCTTCTGATCCATGTCCCTGCTCTGCTTCCCCCTGCTCTATTTCCCAGGTGAAGCTCTGCCATCCAGACATGTCCTGCTACAGCCCGTGCATGCCCTGCCAGCCCTGCGGCCCGACCCCGCTGGCCAACAGCTGCAATGAGCCCTGTGTCAGGCAGTGCCAGGACTCCAATGTCTTCATCCAGCCCTCCCCCGTGGTGGTGACCCTGCCCGGACCCATCCTCAGCTCCTTCCCACAGAACACCGCCGTGGGCTCCTCCACCTCTGCTGCCGTTGGCAGCATCCTCAGCTCCGAGGGAGTGCCCATCAACTCCGGGGGCTTTGGCCTCTCTGGCTTGGGCCTCTCCGGCTTGGGCGGCCGCTTCTGCGGCAGGAGGTGCCCCCCCTGCTAAAGCTGCTGGCGATGGCCCTGGGGAAGGGCCCAGGGACACACAAGATGGCACCGCAATGGGGGTCACAGGCTCCTGTCTGACCGTGATGCTCCCTGCACTGTGACCTCTACTCTGATTGAGCTCGCTCCTCTTTTTTGCCTCATTAAATCTCTGTAGCAGCCCAGTCCATGCCTTTGTCTTGTCTTTTCCCCTGCCGATGCTCAACGAAGATGCCCGGGGAGAGAGATGTTGCTCAAAGGGGTCTGGGACGGGGTGTTGGCTATTACTGTGCAGTTATTGTCAACATGGGTTTGCACTGAGTTTGTTCAGTCATGAGTTCTGTGACTCTCTTGTTTCTGAACTTCTCTGCCTATGTGGGGTAGAACAGGATTGAATGAGTGAATGACCCAGTCACTACCATCAGTTGGTGCATACACCTCTTCCTTTTCCTTTGGAAGCTCAGCGTTGTAAAGAAGGCAGTCAGGAGAAGAAAGGATGAATGTGTTATTGACAGGGCAACATCAACACCTTCCCAGGAAAGCATAGGAGAACTTGCCCTTTTAAAGCATTGAGATTTTGAGTTGCAGGATAAGGAGAATACCAGGCAGGAAATCAAAGCATAACAACAGTAAAGGAACATACTGCCACAGCATCCTTGGGAAAATACTGTCTCCACAGCTGGGCTACACAGGTCCTATGGTCTGATCTGGTGCACAGATGCTTGTGGCAATCTGCTGTTTCCTTCCACAGAGGATTCAGGAGAGTTCCTGCACACTGCCTTTCTCCTTGGCCAGGGAGCTGAGTCCCTCCTCCTCATTGCCAGCCCTATCCCCACCAGTGGGCAGAGGCACAAAGGCCATCCTGTCATGATGGGATCACAGCACACTCAAGTTAGAAAGTAACTCCAGAAGTCATTGGGCCCAACCCCTTGCTCCAAGATCATTCAGCCATGATCATCCAAGCACTGTTACTGCACTACCTCCTCAGGCAACCTTTTCCACACCTTGACTCTCTTCCTAGTGAAAACCATTTGCCATGGATCGAGTCCAAACTTCTCATCTGTCAGGGTGAGTCCGATGTCTCCAGTTCTCCAAGCACACACTGCCACAGTGAGCACTGTTGAGCTTGGATCTGTCCTCTGGTGAACCTCACCAGGGCTACTCCTAAGCTGCTCTTAGGTCTCCCACCAAAGCCTTCTCTCCACAATAAGCAAGGACCATGCCCTCAGCAACTCCCCCCTAAACATGTGCTCCTGGCCCTTACCATCTCGGACACCCTCTGCTGAACTTCCCCCATTTTGATCAAGGTCTTTCTCCCATTAGATCTTTCTTGTGTTAGAGCAGTGTTCCAGAGCCCAGCTGATGAGTGCTGAGCAGAGTGGGATGAGGCCTATTGGCACTGGCCATGATGCCAATGACAGTTCTTTTTGTCCAGAAACAGTATTGATGGTGTTACCAGAAAAACTGGCCCTGCCTTAGGCTGCTGCTTGTCAGGGTGGCAGCATGTGTGGAGAGCTAGGGCTGGTTGTGGCCATGCAGGGATCAGGGTGGACATGTGGGATCTTACACAGTTCTCTCCTGCAGCAGTTCAGCTGCTCCCCTTTGTCAGCCACAAGCCTCTGAGCCTTTGCCTCTGGTCACCGCACTGCTGTGGAGAGCTCCTGGACAGACCCTTGAGACACTCAGCCTGCACACGCTGCCTGTTCCTGACCTGCTCCCCTTCTCCAGAAACATCCCCAGGAAACGCTGGGCACAGGCAGGGGAGGAGCAGGGCAAGGAGGATGTTCTCTGCCTGTGGGCCTGCATGACAGTCTATGAGGGGAAGGGGAAAAAAGAGAAAACCGAAGTGGTGCAAAGGCAATACCAGGCACCTCACACCAGCAGAGGATGGCCAGCCATGCTCTAAAGAACGGCCACTTTGGAAAGACTGCCCTGAGTCTTTCAGTTCACAACCATTGTGTTAACAATCACTACACCTTCATCCCAAAATCTCCATCCCATAATCCCACAGAGAAACAACTCTGTCCTTGGACACCTTGGGAAGGCATCTGCAGTGGAAAGGATAAGAGAGAGGCATTGGTTGGGATGCAGCAGAACTTTAATGAGTCAAAAGAGGGAAACAAGGACACTGTGAGTGGAGATCCTGGTGCAGGGAGCACCAAAGGCAGAAAGGAGTCGGCATCCCCAGTGCGGTGCCATCTTGTGTGTCCCTGGGCCCTTCCCCAGGGCCATCGCCAGCAGCTTTAGCAGGGGAGGCACCTCCTGCCGCAGAAGCGGCCGCCCAAGCCAGAGAGGCCCAAGCCAGAGAGGCCAAAGCCCCCGGAGTTGATGGGCACTCCCTCGGAGCTGAGGATGCTGCCAACGGCAGCAGAGGTGGAGGAGCCCACGGCGGTGTTCTGTGGGAAGGAGCTGAGGATGGGTCCAGGCAGGGTCACCACCACGGGGGAGGGCTGGATGACAACGTTTGAGTCCTGGCACTGCCTGACACAGGGCTCATTGCAGCTGTTGGCCAGCGGGGTCGGGCCGCAGGGCTGGCAGGGCAGGCACGGGCTGTAGCAGGACATGTCTGGATGGTAGAGCTTCACCTGGAGACAGGGCAGGGGCAAGCAGAGCAGGGACATGGGTTAGCAGCAGCCTGAAGCCCACCACAAAGGAGCCACGCAACAAGATGGAGTCATGAGCCAGTGGCTGCGTAAGGAGTCCCACTGCCTTCAGCTTCCCCTCAGTGCAAAAGAGCCCTGCCAAGAGCAGCCAAATCAAGCAAGGTCACCACCCAGACCATTGCTCAGCCAAGACCCAACCTAACTCCATGCCGCAACTACTACCATGTTTCCTGTCCTGTGACAAGCTGCTTCAACTCCAGTGTAGGACGAAGGAGCAGGTTTATGCTGAGAAATCCCAAAGGAGGATCAGGAGATACAGGAGAACAACGAGAATGAGAAAGAGTTTCATACTCACCTTGTTCTGAAGGAGGTGGAGGCGAGAGCAGTGGATGATTGAGTGAGGAGAAGTTCCCCTTTTATACTGCTCCTGCACCGCCCCTGGCCCTCAGTCACTGCACACGGGCAGTAATTTTCCAGCAGACTCACCTCCAAAGCAAACCATTCACCTAATGGCACAGGTTGGGGGTTGTTTTCCATCTGATTTCCTCATTTCTGATGTGTTGCTCTGCCATGCCGGTGCTACTGATGTGCCTGCAGATGGCTTTGGTAGGGACCCCAGATATTGTCACAAGAGGGGAAAGCGGCCAAACAGATGGACACAGGCAGGAGAGGACTGCACTGGTGGCACAGCACGTTCCTGTCCAGAAGGTTGAAAACAGCCTCACCAGATCTCTCCAGACCCATGCCTCTTACTTGCACACACACCTCCACCACTTGGAGTATATCTTCTGCTACTGTTGATGTGCTCCTGACAGGAAATATTTGGGCCTCTCATCTTGATACTTGAAAGGATCTTCTGTGACATAATGGTCATTCCAGAAATGAGGAAGCGAAATGGCTGCGTTGATGGAAACCAAACCGCAGCCTGTGCCATTAGGCGTATGTTTTGCTTTGGAGGTGAGTCTGCTGGAAAATTAGTGCCTGTGTGCAGTGACCGTGGGCCTGTGGCAGTGCAGGAACGGTATAAAAGCAGTAACTTCTCCTCACTCTCTCATCCACTGCTCTCGCCTCCATCTCCTTGCAAGCAAGGTGAGATTGAAGCCTTTTCTTTTCTTCCACCTCCTTTTCCTCTTCTGCTTTTCTTAGCATAGACTTGCCTTTTGTCCTGTGCTGGGTCAAGGGGCTACAAATAATGAGAGAGGGAAGGGAGCAGAAGGTCTATAATGCAGATAGGCTGGGGCTGGCTGTAGTGAGCGATGGCTACACTGGGGGCTCCCTGTAATTCAGTGTTCTTGACGGAGCATTTGTTGGCTGAGGGGAAGCTGAAATCCATGGATTTCCCTACAACACCTCCAGCTGTTTCAACCTTCATTTGTCTTGCGGTGAGAGGCTGCTGCTAACCCATGTCCCTGCTCTGCTTGCCCCTGCCCTGTCTCCAGGTGAAGCTCTACCATCCAGACATGTCCTGCTACAGCCCGTGCATGCCCTGCCAGCCCTGCGGCCCGACCCCGCTGGCCAACAGCTGCAATGAGCCCTGTGTCAGGCAGTGCCAGGACTCCACCGTTGTCATCCAGCCCTCCCCCGTGGTGGTGACCCTGCCCGGACCCATCCTCAGCTCCTTCCCACAGAACACCGCCGTGGGCTCCTCCACCTCTGCTGCCGTTGGCAGCATCCTCAGCTCCGAGGGAGTGCCCATCAACTCCGGGGGCTTTGGCCTCTCTGGCTTGGGCCTCTCTGGCTTGGGCGGCCGCTTCTGCGGCAGGAGGTGCCTCCCCTGCTAAAGCTGCTGGCGATGGCCCTGGGGAAGGGCCCAGGGACACACAAGATGTCTCCGCACTGGGGATGCCGACTCCTTTCTGCCTTTGGTGCTCCCTGCACCAGGATCTCCACTCACAGTGTCCTTGTTTCCCTCTTTTGACTCATTAAAGTTCTGCTGCATCCCAACCCATGACTTTCTCTCATCCTTTTTCATACAGATGCTCTCCCCAAATGCTCAGGGATAGAGCTGTTGCTCAGGGGTGGTTCTGGGAGGGGAGAATTGTGTAGTGATTTGTAATAGAATTGTGCAGGATCTACCTGCATGGAGTTGGCCTCTATTGTCCCTCCTACTGGTTCTTTGTAGCTGTCCCTGGAATGGTGGTGATAACACAAAAATGTTTTGGCTTTTGCTGGGCAGAGCTTGCACGGCACCAATGCTGTCTCTCTGACTGCATCTCCAAAATTATGGTAGGCTGGGGTGGGCAAGAGGCTGGGAGGGGAGAAAGGCAGGACTGATGCCCAGACTGATCAAAGGGATTTTCCATACCATATGACATCATGGTTAGCAGTAAATGGTAAAAGGAAGGAGGAGGTTTGGGGCATTGGGTCATTCACAGAATGGTTGAAGCTGGAAGGAACCACCAGAGGTCATCTGGTCCAACCTCCTTCTCTGTAACCAAGCCTCCTAAACCAAGGGAAAGACTTCCTTTCTGCAGACCTTCTCTCTGGTCTTCTGGCTCAGGGATTCCTGAAAGTTGCCTTTGATGTTGAAGACTGAAGAAAAGGCAGCATTCAGAATCTCTGCCTTCTTTGTGTCCTCTGTCACCAGGGTCCCTCCTCCAGTCTGTGGTGTGCCCACATTTTCCTCTTATTACTGATCTGTTTGAAGAAGCCCTTCCTGTTGTCCTTAATATCCTCAGCTAGATGGAATTCCAAATGGGCCTTGGCTTTCTGCATCGCATTTCTGCATACCCTGACAACATCCAAATTGGCCTGTCCCTGCTTCCACCTCCTCTGTATCTCCTGCTTGGGCTTCACTTCCTTATTAAGGATTTTGTCTTCTGAAGCAACCAGGAGTTGCCCTGGCACTGGTGCTCCAACTGTGCTATTGAGCTGTCTAGTGGAGAAGATGAGGGAATACAGCTCCTCTCCCCATCCAAGACTGATGTGGCTCATTTTGTTGTGCAGGATCCTGAGGTCCTTGTTCACTCTTCTGTGAGGTTTTTACAAATACTAATGAACTGCTGGCTTAACGTGGGTTTGTGGGAACTGCTGTCATGCTGGCTTAAGAGGTGACAACTTCTGGCTGTGGTGACAGTGAAATGTGCCCTGAGGTGGCCAGTCCCTGGGTGGCTGCTGCTTGCAAGCCAGCTGCTTTTAGCACTCTATTGGCCTTGCTTGTACTTGACCTGTGTCTATGGAGCCACAAGTCCTTAGCATGAGAGGGCCATGATTAAAACAGGGACTCAAATGACCTCTGGAGATGTCAAGATTCAGCCAGGGATCCCAACAACATCTAAGAACATGGTAGCTGAGGCAGAGACCCAAACCACAGGTGAGGACACGATGGTTGGGACAGGCACCCAAACACTACCTGCAGTGATTGTTCTGGTACTGAAAAAGAAATAGTGGACAATGAAGTGAATGGGTCCTTCTCATTGATTAGTAAAGAAGTGAGGAGGAAGGCAGCCCTTCAGCAAAGGAATGGGAGGACGAAGTGAGACAAGTAACTGGAGTGACAGAAAGTACAGAGTCGAATCATAGTATTATAAATCATAGAATCATAGAATAGCTAGAGTAGGAAAGGACCTTAAGATCATCACGTTCCAACCCCCCTGCCATGGGCAGGACACCTTGCTCTAAACCATATCACCCAAGGCCTCGTCCAACCTGGCCTTGAACACTGCCAGGGATGGAGCATTCACATTATCGAATCATAGAAAAGTTTGGGGAAGAAGCTCATCCAGTTCTGCCATCGAGTCCCAGCCATGGGCAGGGACACCTTTCACTAGACCAGGTTGCTCCAAGCCCCATTCAAGCTGGATTTGATTGCACCCATTCCTTGACCTCAAGAGAGCTTCAAGACGCGGAAACATCACAGCCACCAGCCTGGTGAGCAGGTTACTGCATGGCAACTCTGATGTTTGGAGAGTGGAGCCAACAGTCAGGAACTGGTAGGTAAGGAAGCGAAACAGCTGGGATCCCTCACTAGGAACCCAGGAATTGAGAGTGGACTTGGAAAAGAAGCTGTGAATTGCAGTCTCTGGAGGTGTGTGCTGTCAAGTGTGAGGGCAAGATATCTGTTCAAGATCTTGTGATTTAGCAAGGAAGGTGAACCAAGGCTTAGAGAGGCATAAAGTACCTGAGAGGATTAGTTGTGATGGAAGTCATCTGATGAGAAGGAGGTCTCCTAAGGACCAGAGAGTGCCCTGTGCACAAGGGCCATGTGAAAAGGGTTGTCCAGAATGAAACAGTGCTGTATTCTAACAGTTTGGTAGCAATGTATTGCCTGCATTTGGATACACCAGTGGTGAAGAGAGCATCTTCCTGTCTGAAATTCTGAAGACAATGCCTCTCCCTCCTCTCAGTGTAGCTGCAGTTTGGTTACCCCATCACGGGGGGCAAAACAAAAGAAGCGATTGAGAAACGCTGAAGAATAATTCTGATTATTTTGCAAGGTATATTTGCCATGAAATCAAGCAAGGTCAAAGCTGCACAGGAAATGCATTTCTTGGGATCTTGGCATCTGCGTGAAAAAGGATGACAGAAAGTCATGGGTTGGGATGCAGCAGAACTTTAATGAGTCAAAAGAGGGAAACAAGGACACTGTGAGTGGAGATCCTGGTGCAGGGAGCACCAAAGGCAGAAAGGAGTCGGCATCCCCAGTGCGGAGACATCTTGTGTGTCCCTGGGCCCTTCCCCAGGGCCATCGCCAGCAGCTTTAGCAGGGGGGGCACCTCCTGCCGCAGAAGCGGCCGCCCAAGCCAGAGAGGCCCAAGCCAGAGAGGCCAAAGCCCCCGGAGTTGATGGGCACTCCCTCGGAGCTGAGGATGCTGCCAACGGCAGCAGAGGTGGAGGAGCCCACGGCGGTGTTCTGTGGGAAGGAGCTGAGGATGGGTCCGGGCAGGGTCACCACCACGGGGGAGGGCTGGATGAAGACATTGGAGTCCTGGCACTGCCTGACACAGGGCTCATTGCAGCTGTTGGCCAGCGGGGTCGGGCCGCAGGGCTGGCAGGGCACGCACGGGCTGTAGCAGGACATGTCTGGATGGTAGAGCTTCACCTGGAGACAGGGCAGGGGCAAGCAGAGCAGGGACATGGGTTAGCAGCAGACTCTTACTCCATCATGACAGAGACATGCCACAAGCCAGGTACAAGAGCTGGAGACGTTGTATGGACACCCATGGACTTCTCCTTCCCCTCAGTCCGAAAGACCCTGCCATGAGCAGCTAAGCCCAGGAAGTCCTTCCATGCCCATAGGTGAGGGAATACATAACCAAGCCCCAGCCTATCTGTATGTCACACTTGCTGCCCCATTCCGTTTCCCATATCAAGCAGTTCCAAGACCAAGGAGAGGTCATAGGAGCAGGAATGAGCTGAGATACCCTGGAGGAAAACAAGAAGGAGAAGCAGAAATGGTTTCATACTCACCTTGTCCTCAAGGAGATGGAGGCGAGAGCAGTGGATGTGAGAGTGAGGAGAAGTCCTGCCTTTATACTGCTCCTGCACAGCCCCAGGCCCACAGTCACTGCACACGGGCAGTAATTTTCCAGCAGACTCACCTTCAAAGCAAAACACCCACCTGATGGCACTGGTTGGGGTTTGGTTTCCATCAATGCTGCCATTTCATTTCCTCATTGCTCACATGCCTCCTTTGCGATGCGCTCTGCTTTCATGTGCTGCCATGACATTGCAGTGGATATCGCAGGGAACACCTTGTTTTGTAGTGTGAAGTGCCCTCAAGTGGTGAGTGTGGATGTTCCGTGCAGGAAGGGGATGCTGGCTTAGGACAGTGAAATGGAGTTTCCCACTCCCTTTCCAAGAAGAGGTTTCAGCTGTCTTCTTGTTGATGCCCTTTGCCTTGCGGAGAGCATCTGCCCGGTTTTCTGAATAAGCAGGTTTAGGAAACCTGAGTTTGAGGTTTCAGAACCCAAAACCCACCTGGCACTGAACCAGCAACGAGGTCTTCTTTCAGGCAGCTCAGTAGCCATAGGGAGCCTTGGGAAAGACTGAATGGAGCAGATCCACTGGGGACAGGGGATACAGGAAAGGTGAAGGTACTCCGGGGGTCCTTGTCCTTGGTCTTTAGTGGACAGTTTTACTGTCAAGGGACAAGCAAATGTTGTTAATCTCATCTAACCAATGTTTTTGACACTGTTAGTCGTTGAAGACCTACTGATGAAATACAAGCTGGGGAAGAGGGCAGTACAGGGGATTGAAATCTGGCATGTCTGATGCTCTCCAAGGGTTGTGATGAGTGGCACAAAGCCCCTCCTGTTTGCCACTGACTCCTGGTGCTCTGCAGGGGCCCAGACTGATGCCAATAGTGTTTAACCCCTTCACGCAAAGTCCAGTACACTCCACAGAGGCAAAGAAAGGGTTGCAGAAAACATCTCCCTCTGTCTAGGACTCATCACTCAGTCTGGGGCAATACATATTCTCCAGCCAATAGGGCTCCATCACTCCTCCCTTCCCACGCCCCAAAGGCCTCCTCAGTGTGGAACACAACCCAGCACCACTGGGGAGGCAAGAAAATCTCTTCCAAGTGCCCAAGTACTGAGGGCGGCAGAGCCCCCCAGTGCCACGTGCCTGGGGATGCTCAAGGAGGAGAAGTGCTCAGAACACCTCTGAGTACGAAACCAGCTCTCAAAGCACATCAAGGAGCGATGCACTTCCCTGCCCTGCAGCCCTGGAGGCAGCTGGGACGCATCCCAGGAGGGCAGGGGAATGCCTTCCGTAGGCAAGCTTCCTGGGATAGGCTCTCCCTACCCGTGGCGAGTCACACTCTAATTCTGGCCTGGAGTGTGTCAGCCTTCGGTGTGAGGACAAGCCAGGAGTGCAGCCCACGTCCACACAGGGCTCAATTCCCCTGTGGCCAGGGCAGCTCCATCCACAACCCAGGAAATACAGCTCCCAGTGGCCATTGCCTTCAGCATGACCTTGCCACAGCTTGGGGGACTCACAGGACATCAGCATCTTCTGGTAAAGTGTCTCCTGCTAGAGAGGGTCCCAAGAGAGCAGCCAAAGTCCATGGTGATGTGAGGGAAGTGGGAGGAATGAGACACTGTGCTAGGGACAAACGCACCCCTACAGTAGTGAGAAGGGGCCCAACTCCACACCATTTGGTGAGGAATCAGGGGTTTTGGGTGCCCATGGCTCTTGGTGGGAACATCCCCTTCCTGGAGAGGAGGTTGTACACAACCTCACCAGACTTCCCCGCATCCATGTTCTCCATCTGCATAGAACCCAGCAGCACTTGGGGGCATATCTTCTACCTCTGCTGACGTGTCGCTGTCTGGGAATGCTTTGGCCTCTCATTACAGCACTTGAAAGGATCCTCCATGGCCTGGTGGTCATGTCAGAAACGAGGAAATTAAATGGCAGAAACCAAACCCCAACCAGTGCCATTAGACGGGTGTTTTGCTTTGGAGGTGACTCTGCTGGAAAATTAGTGCCTGTGCGCAGTGACTGTGGGCCTGGGGCAGTGCAGGAGCAGTATAAAAGCAGGAGCTTCTCCTCACTCTCTCATCCACTGCTCTCGCCTCCATCTCCTTGAGGACAAGGTGAGTATGAAGCTCTTATCCTCTTGCTTATTTCTTCCTTCTCTCCCTCATCTGGGTCATCTCAGCACAGACCTGCCTCCTTGTCCTATGGCATCTTGAGGCTGCCTTCCATGGGAGAGGGAAGGGTGAGGAATGTGCAGCATGAACAGATGTTGGAGCTTGGGTGAGGTGTCTCCTGGGCTGTGGGGCTGGAGATCTCCCTGAGCTTGGATGCTCTTGGTGGACGTCTTTTGGGCTAAGGGAAAAGGTCTGTCATGTTGTGGGGTGAGAGTCTGCTCCTAACCCATGTCCCTGCTCTGCTTGCCCCTGCCCTGTCTCCAGGTGAAGCTCTACCATCCAGACATGTCCTGCTACAGCCCGTGCGTGCCCTGCCAGCCCTGCGGCCCGACCCCGCTGGCCAACAGCTGCAATGAGCCCTGTGTCAGGCAGTGCCAGGACTCAAACGTTGTCATCCAGCCCTCCCCCGTGGTGGTGACCCTGCCCGGACCCATCCTCAGCTCCTTCCCCCAGAACACCGCCGTGGGCTCCTCCACCTCTGCTGCTGTTGGCAGCATCCTCAGCTCCGAGGGAGTGCCCATCAACTCCGGGGGCTTTGGCCTCTCTGGCTTGGGCCTCTCTGGCTTGGGCGGCCGCTTCTGTGGCAGGAGGTGCCCCCCCTGCTAAAGCTGCTGGCGATGGCCCTGGGGAAGGGCCCAGGAACCCAGAAGATGGCACCGCACTGGGACGGGGCCTTGGGTTGTTGCTTCCATAGCAGCTGAGCAACCCCAGCACCCCAAGCATGGCCCATGCTGCTTTTCACCTCTGCCACTGTCTCCTTTCCCTTCTATGTTCTTGTTCTCTTGTGCTCACCTGGGCTGGGAGCCCCACAAAGGCAGCCTAGGGAGGACCTGCTGGCCCTGCTCCCTCTGTGGGGAGGAGATGGGCACCTGGTGGGACCCACCACAGCCATGGGGCACAGTCTCCTTTCTGCCCCTGGTGCTCCCTGCACTCGGGCTTCCACTGAGACTGTCCTGTTTTCCTCATTTGACTCATTAAAGTTCTGCTACATCCCAGGCCGTAACTGTGTCATCCTTTCCCCTGCAGATGCTCTGCCAAGATGCCACGGGAGAGCAAAGTGCACGGGGAGCACCACTGTGTTCCTTTAATGCAGCAGGATAACTTGGTCTCTGCACCTTTCCATGACATGAAATACTCTGTGTCTTGTGGGTTGGGTGGCCATTTCCCATGGAGGCTGCATTCCAGGATCCCTTTTACTCTGCATGAGTGCTCTATGTGTGAAGAAATCCTCCTTTAGGTGTTGTAGGAAAAAGTCCTCTGCAGAGATCAAAACACTTTTGACCCAGGACTGGAGGGCCTTTTACCAAGTTGTTTCATCCCTTTGAACCCTGCAGTGAGACCAAGTTAAAATAGCCCTGCTTAGCCTACAGTGAGTGTGTCCCTGTCCTGGAGAGAGGAAATCTCCATTAGTGGATGGATAGCTCAACGTAGTAAAACACCCTCAGGCACATGCGGGATGTGGACAGGGGAGACCTGGACAGGCTGGAGAGTTGGGTGGGGAATAGCTTGATGAAATATAACAAGGGAAAGTGTAGAGTCCTGCATCTGGGCAGGAACAACCCCAGGTTCCAGTATAGATTGGGGAACGACCTGTTAGAGAGCAGTGTAGGGGAGAGAGACCTGGGGGTCCTAGTGGACGACAGGGTGACCATGAGCCGACACTGTGCCCTTGTGGCCAAGAAGGCCAATGGCATCCTGGGTTGTATTAGAAGGGGGGTGGTTAGTAGGTCGAGAGAGGTTCTCCTTCCCCTCTACTCTGCCCTGGTGAGACCGCATCTGGAATATTGTTGTCTAGTTTCTCAGTTTAAGAAGGACAGGGACCTGCTGGAGAGAGTCCAGCACAGGAAGATGATTAAGGGAGTGGAGCATCTCCCTTATGAGGAAAGACTGAGGGAGCTGGGTCTCTATAGTTTGGAGAAGAGGAGATTGAGGGGTGACCTTATTAGTGTATATAAATATATAAAGGGGGAGTGTCACGAGGATGGAGCCAGGCTCTTCTCAGTGGCAAACAATGATAGGACAAGGGGCAATGGGTACAAACTGGAACACAAGAGGTTCCACTTGAACTTGAGAAGAAACTTCTTCTCAGTGAGGGTGACAGAACACTGGACCAGGCTGCCCAGGGAGGTTGTGGAGTCTGCTTCTCTGGAGACATTCAAAACCCGCCTGGACACGTTCCTGTGTAACCTTATCTAGGTGTTCCTGCTCCGGCAGGGGGATTGGACTGGATGAGCTTTTGAGGTCCCTTCCGATCTAGCGTACTGTGATACGGTGATACTGTGGTCCATGGGGAGATTCCTACCACAAGAGGACGCATCACTGAAGATTTCCTTTCTAGCACGGGTGCTCGGGATGGGCTCAGCCTCCAAGCAGCACTTAGTAGCCAGCCAGTTCCCCGTTCCACGCCTGCAGACATGGTCAAACACAGCCTCTGCCGCCGGTACCGCGTTCCGGGGCTATGTCGGGGCTGGGGATGCGCAGAGCCCGCACCAGTGAGCGGCGGCCGGGATCGGGTCCCGGCGCCGCGGGGCTGCTGCAGGAGCCGGGTCCGCAACGGGGGCGAGGGTTCAGGGGCTGCGGCTGCCCCGGCAGGCACCGCCGGTCCCGGCCTCCCGCATGATGCGGGGGTGAGCCCCCGGGGCACGGGGCCGGTCCCTGGGTCAGGCTCCAGCCGGCAGGACCCAGACCCTGCTCTGGGCACTGAAGCGCAGCTCTTGCAGGAGCCTGGCTCCCAGCACACGCACACAAAAAGGATGCCTGGTCTCTGTTCTAACCCCCCCAAATGCAGCATAGGGCTCTTCTTGGGAGCCCCCAAATGGGCTGAGGGAGCCTGGTGCCCAGCACCCGAAATGCAGCACTCAGTTTCTGAGCCCTTTGATGGGCCACATCCGCCTGTTCCAGGCTCCAAAATGTAGCATTTAATCTCTGCTGCTCAGCTCTAACAGCAACCCCCTCAGCTCATTTCTCAGCCCCCCCAAAACACAGCATTAAGTCTCATACTGTGCCCCAAAATGCAGGACCTTGTCGCCATTTCTGAGCCCAAAATCTGGCCAAACGAGCCTGGTTTGGAGCACTCCAAACCCAGCACTTAGTGTTGGGGTTTTTGTGAGCCCTAAAACTGGCTGAGTCACCCCAGGTTCACACTCCAAGCAGCAATCAGTCTCTGTTTCTCAGCCCCAAACCTGGCTCACAGATCACAGGAATTCATCTCTATTTCTGAGACCTAAAAGTGCCCATAGGAGCCTTGTTTTGAGCCCCCAAACAGAGTGTTTTGTGGTAGCCCTAAAGCCGGCCAACGAGTCAAGTGTCAGGCCCCACAGACTCAGGACTTGGTCTCTGTGAGCCTCAGAACTGGCCAAGGGAGTGTGGTTTTGAGCCCCCGAAGTGCAGGACTTGGCTCCTGGTGTTGAGCAGCCAAAAGCAGGACTTGGTCTGTTTCTGAGCCCCAGCATCAGCCCAGGAGATCACCTCCTGTCAGGACTTCCACACACGGGACTTCGTTTCTCAGCTCTGAACCTGGATTTTGAGCAGCCCAAACTGACCCCATGAGCCGAGTTCCAGACTTCAGCACAGGGGGCTTGGTCTCCATTTAAGAGCCCCAAATCTGGCTTTAGTGACCCCCGTTTCGAGCCCTGAAACCGCAGGACTTGGTCTCTGCTTCTGAACCCGAAACGGCCCCAGGAGCCGGTTTCCAGACTCCAGGGCTCAGAGCCCAGTTCCAGGCCGGGCTCGCCTCACTGCGAGCGGAGCCCCACGCTCCCGGAGAGCCCCAGGGCCGGTGTCCAGTCCCGCAGGGCTCGGCTGTCTCGGGGAGCGGCTCCACCCCGGCAGCCACGTCCGGGACCGCGGGGCTCGTCCCGGTACCGCAGCACCGACCGGGGCCGGTCCCCGCTCTCGGGCCCGGCTCTACGGAGCCGCAGCGCCCGCTGGGGCCCCAAGGTGCTTTCGAAGGGGACCGGGGACCGGCCCAGGCGACAGCGGCACTGCCCCAGCAGCAGAGCCCCTTGTATGGACATCGCCCCGCCCCTCGCCCACTCCTTATATGGACATCGCCCCGCCCCACGGGTCCCGCCCCCTCCTTTTATAGACCTCTCCGCCCTCCGCTCCTTTTATAGCTGCAACGTCACCACCCTCGCCCCGCCCTCTAATTTCACAGCCAGCCGAGGCAGCCCCAGGTCCTACCGCCCGCCCGCCCGCTCGCTCATCCCCGCAGCCGCCGTCACCGTCCCCGGGGTCCCCTCTCTCCTCTCCCTTCCTTCCCTTTCTTCCCTTCCCGTTTGACCACGGCTGTGGCTCTCGGGAGCGGCTTCTCCCCGGGACCTTACACCCCGACCTGTAACTACTCCTTGCATAGGGGCTGCAGTCTGAAAAGGGGTGATCCCGGAGGTCCCCGGGGGTTTGGTGTCTCTGCTGCTCAGCAGGAAGAAGGGGGAAGTGGGGACAGATGCAGTTTGGGTGCTGGAAGCTGTCTCTGCTGTTTCCCCAACCTGATTTAGGGGTGATGGGAGCTCTGACCCCGGTGGCATTACAAGCCAGTTGCCAGTAGGCTTTGCCTTAACAGGAGAGCTCCTAGGAGGAGGCTTCAGGGCTTCACGTGGAGCTCCAAGCATGCAGAAAGCTGGTGCCTAAGCTTAAATCCCTTCCTTCTGCTCCCATCCCGTGTCAGGGCTTTCCTGTCTCTCTGCTGGTGTGCCGTTGGAAAGCAGGGTTCATCCTCCCTGAGCCTAGGGCTAAGCTGTGCTCTGGCACCGGCAGATCTCCCCCCTGCAGCAAAACCCAGCCTGGCTCCTGCTGAAGCTGGAGGAGAAGCTCCCGAACACGGAGCACACAAGGCAGCGTTGGGCTGCAGCATGAAGGCGCATCTGCAGGCTGAGGCTGCCTGCGCAGGGCAGCGAGAGCCAAAGGGAAGGAGGCCATCCAAAAGCAATGCTGGGTTTGATGGGAAAGGAGGTGCACAGAGGTTTCCACATCCGTACGGACAGCAAGGTATGGAGGAGGAGAGGAGTCACCTGGGAATGGGGTGGACAGGAAGGGTAGGCTGAAGATATGGCCCAATCTTGGACTGAATATGAGAATAATGAGAGGAATGGGAGGGTGAAGCAATAGGAATTGCAACAGCCGTGGTGGAAGTAACCCCTGGAACCTTCTCTGGGTCACGCTGGATGAGCCGGGGCACCCCTCAGCAGGGGGAGCATCCCATAGCCAGGAGCACGAAGGCACCTTCTTGTACCCTCAAGGGGTAGGGAGAGGCTGAGGATGGAAAAGGCAGCCACGAGCATGGGGTGGAATGGAGCAGGAGTGATGCACAGTGGTTTTGCTGGAGGTAGGTTGTGTCAGATGAGGGCAGGGCTGCTGGGTTTGACCCAGGGGATGTGATGCTTCTCTCCAGTGAGGTATAATGGGACTGTTTGCCCCAGAGCTGTGATGGGGTTGTGATAGGGAGGCACGAATGGAGCACTCTGCTCACAGGCTCCTGCTCAGAGGCAAACTGATGGGTTGGGACAACAGCATAAGCACATCCTGGCAGGGTTAGGATGTGGAAGAGCCTGGCTGGGAGATGCTGCTGATGGCTGAGAGCAGGCCAGAGTTAGCTCTGCTATAACAAAACCAAGACCAGAGCTTCTGTAGCTCAACCTAGCGTTGGCCTGGATCCTGTGTGCTCAGCACGAGAGCAGC